ACCCAAATAACATACCACGTTGCATTAACTCTAAGATACCATCCATTGTAAGATGTACCATCATTTTATATACTACTAAGAAAGAAAAAAGCACTTCTAATTAAAGTTCAATACATTAAATTATGTGAAAAAAATTTGCTTAGAAAAAATGAAATCTGGTATTATATGACACATACGACTTTTTGTAAAAAAGACAAAAGCTTGAACATTCCGTGTCAGTTCCCTCGTTAGGCCTCCTTTCCCTTAAATTGTATTTTAGGGTTCTGTAGTACTGATAAATTACTGGCTTGGGGCCTATTTCTCAGACTATGTGTAATTTAACACTATAGCATTTATAGCTTTTACTTAGTATCATTTATTTATTTATTTCCTAAATTGGCTTTAATAACCTCTTCCTCCAGAGCTTGTAGATAAATGTACTGCTCTGCTCTCCTTCCTCATCTATAATAAATCCCTTTTATAGAATGTCCAGTAATCTATATACATCAGGCCCTAGGGATCATATGATGGATCTGATACACTGTTTCTTTTGAACATTGTCTTATGTATTAATTCTAATAGGACAGGATTCTGGAAGCAAAGTTATATCGGCACCCTTAGGAACTGCACAACCACAGCAGGAAAAAGTAGTCGGATCATCTCCTGGCCATTCAGCTGTGCAGGTAGAAAACTATTTGCAAAGCTTCTTCCTAACTGAATGAAATGTAGTTGTGTCATCCGCCTTGTGGTTGCTGGCTAGCATTATGTGCACAGTTAGCTCAGTCCCCTGTGTGCCCACAAAAGGGTGGCCACTGAACACCTTCCTGGTGAGCCAGGCCTTGTTACATTTGTGTTTCTAGGATGAATGTGATTCTATTTCTGACATGTTTACAATGCTTCTTTAATGCCTCATTTCCTCATGGATTAATAATGAGCCAGCACCTACTGGGCACTCAAAAAATGTAATTTACTGTTTAAAGGCATCATTTATTATCATATCAAAGTGGATCTGTTCTGCCTAGTTATGCTGAGAGATTTTTTTTTTTTCTGACATAGCAGCAAGGAGTGTATTAAGTAGGCAGTCCCCAGGGTCTTTTGATCCAACTTTGGCTTTTAAACCTCAAAAAATTTCAAACCATTCATCTAACAAGGAAGGAAAAATTTTTTGTTTTCAGCTAAGAACTTAGTGTCTTCTCCATCAAACTTACCAATTAGGGGACAGGCACAGTGGCTCACGCCTGTAAATCTCCACACTTTGGGAGGCCAGGGCAGGAGGATCACTTGAGCTCAGGAGTTCAAGGTTACAGTGAGCTATGCTTGCACCACTGCACTCCATCCTGGGTGACAGAGCAAGACCCTGTCTCCAAAAAAAAAAAAAAAATTTAATGAAACTTGCTACAGTCTGGGCCTGCCTGGAATACACAGTGAAGGATCTGTTCAGGTCTCAGGCTCTGATGTAAGGTATATTTGTTCTCCTAATGTGATGCAAGAAATACCCTGTTAGATCACACAGCTGGACTGTATGTAACAGGAGCTTAACCATGTGTGCTCCTGTATTCACTGGTCAGAAGACAGATTAAGTAGTATATGCTGAGTTTACAGATGTTAATGGAGTTGGTACCTACAAATACATTTCTTCAAAACTGTAATGTTGCATTTGGAGGGAGTTAAGGATTCCGGCTTTAAAGTACAAACTGAGTCCTTCTAAGGAACTGACAGCGCAGCTTTCTGTAATCTTGGCCCAGTACAACTTTGCTACTGGACTCTATGGGCTTGTTTTATTTTTTAGCAGAGCACATTCTATAGTCTTAGAATATGCTCTTTTAGGTAGTTGAAAACATTTGAAATATAGTGACCTTTATGTGTAACTGTATTCTTTTTTCTGCAAAAGGGAATAATAAGAGATGTGTTTTGTCTTTAGGTGGATAGTCATTCGGGAGGACAAAAAAGGCCTGCTGCAAAACAACTAACTAAAGGAGCTTTGTGAGTTATCTTTGGAAATGACCAGTCCATTTTGAACATTTCTCTAGGTCTCTAATCTTCAATAAATATACTATAGAAGTCAGGTTATAATTATGAGTACATAGTGAGGCAGAAAACTCATTTAATGAAAAAAATAATGACTATATTAGCCTTTTTAAAACGTACTTTGGAAATCTTTTTCTATAGTTTGTTTTCATTAGGATCTATAAATAAATGTAGTTTGAGCCTACTGTTTGCTCTTTTCTTCTTAAGGAGAAAAGTTCTTTGTCTTTTTAGAGACAAAGA